TCATGAAAAATATACTACAAAGCTATCGTAATCAAAAGAGCATGGTACTAGCACAAAAACAGACAGGTGGGCTAATGGAACAGAATAGAGTCCCCAGAAATAAATGATCAAACATACAGTCAACTGATTTTTGACAAGGGGTACCAGTCAATCCAGTGGGAAAAGGGAAACCTCTTCAACAAATGGTGCTGGAAAAACTGGATTTCCACCTGCAGAAAGATGAATCTGAAACCCTACCTATCACCATTGACAAAAATCAACTAAAGGTGGATCAAAGATCTAACCTAAGACCTCAAACTGTCAAACTGCTCCTGGAAAACACTGGGGAAACTCTGGGAGACATTGGTGTAGGCAAAGACTTCTTAAATAAGATCCCCAAAGCACAGTCAATAATCCCCAAAATAGACAAGTGAGATTACATCAGACTAAGAAATTTCTGCATGGCAAAAGATACAGTTATTAGTGTGAATTGACAGCCATCAGAATGGGAAAATATTTTTATAAACTATGCATCAGATAAGAAACTGATAACCAGAATTCACAAGGAACTCAAGCAGCTGTTCCAAAAAAAGATGATCAACCCTATTAAAAGATGGGAGAATGAGTTGAAAAAATCACTCTCTAGGATGACATTCAAATATCCAAAAGGCATATGAAAAAATGCTTGACATCCCTCATTGTAAGGGAAGTACAGATCGAAACCACAATGAGATATCACCTAATTCCAGTCAGAATGACTAAGATTAAAAAAATAACAACAACAACAACAAAAATGATGAGTGCTGGTGGGGGTATGGTGAAAGGGGAACTCTCTTACACTGCTGGTGGGAATCTAAATTGGTCCAGCCACTGTGGAGAACAATTTGGAGATTCCTCAAAAATCTACAAATAGAACTACCATATTATCACTCCTTGGTATGTATCCAAAGGACAGAAGAATTCTTAATTAGAAATGTGCTTGCACATCAATGTTTACTGTGGCATTATTCACAATTGCTAAGACATGGAACCACCCAAATGCCCACAAACAGATGAATGGATTGAATTGTGGCACATATTCTCTATGGTATACTATTCAGCTATAAAAAACAAGATCCTGGCTTTTGACAGAAAGTGGATGAATATGGAAGATTTACTTCTGAGCGAAGCAAGCCAGGCTATGAAGGAGAGTCGTTGTATGTTCCCACTTAATATATATCGAGTGTCTGTACTCTATGACTGAAACCGATTAACTAAAGGATATAGAAACAAAGTAAATGGTTGTGAATATCAGATATAGTGTTTGTGAAAGAGTAGAGTCTGAGGAAGGACATTTAAAAGAAAAATAGGCAAAGCATTAATGGGACAAAGAAATGTGGTATTATCTGTTGAAGATAATTTTATAGTGTTATCAACTAGACTAGGGAGAAATATACACATATTGGAATATTCACTTCGTAAGCTAAATAATGTGATTGAATGTATAACAGAACAAGAAAAAAAAAAGATATGACAAAAAAGGAAAACTACAGACCAATATCTCTGAGGAATATATATGCAACAAGATACTTGCAAATTGTATCCAACAACATATACAAAAGATTACACATCACGACCAGGTAGTATTAATTTCAGGGGTGCAAGGGTGGTTCAACATATGCAAAACCATAAACGTAACACACCATATTAGCAGAAAGAAAGATAAAAAACATATGATCATTTCAATTGATGCAGAAAAAGCATTCAACAAAATATAATATTCCTTCATGCTTAAGACTCTTAGCAAAATTGGCATAGAAGGGTCATTTCTCAGCACAATAAAAGCCATCTGTGAAAAACCTATACATAACATTATACTGAATGGGAAAAAGCTGAAAGGCTATTTTTTTTTTTTTACTAAAAACCAATAGAAGACAAGGCTGCCCACTTTCTCCACTCCTTTTCAATATAGTACTGGAAGTCCAAGCCAATGCAATCAGAGAATAATAAAAAGGCATTCGACTAGGGAAAGTAGAGTTGAAAGTATCTTTATTTGATGATGACATGATGGTGTACATAGAAGACCCAAAGGTACCTATGAAAAACTTCTTGAAGTAATAAATACAATAAAGTGGCAGGATACGAAATCAACATCCAAATATCTACAGCATTTCTATATGTGAACAAGATGATGGAGGTAGAACTGAAAAAAGTAATTCCTTACCATAGCCACAAATGAATAAAATACCTAGGGATAAACCTAACCAAGGAAAAAAAGATCTTTACAAGGAAAATATGAAAATTTTTAAAAAGATAATGAATAAGACTAAAAAATGTGGATGGATATCCCATGTTCTTGAATTGTAAGAATTATTATAATCAAAATGGTAGTTCTACCCAAATAAATCTACATATTTAATGTAATTCCAATAAAATTACCAGAGACATTCTTCACAGATCTAGAAAAGACATTTATAGAATTGTATGGAATCATAAAAGACCCCATATTGCCAAAGCAATCCTGCACAAGAAGAGTGGAGTAAAGTGGGTGGCATTTCACTGCCCTGATCCAAAAATATACTATAAAGCTGTGATAATCAAAACAGCATGATATTGATAAAAAAAAAAAAAACAGAAAAGGGGACCAATGGAACAAAATAAAAACCCCAAAAAAAAATCCCAAAACACAGAGCCAACTGATTTTTGACAAAGGATAACAGTCAATCCAATAGGAAAAGGAAAAACTC